CGTGGATACCAATAACACATGCGGCCAAGACCTCAGAGTAAAAAATGAAAACGTCACCGAGATAGAACAAGATCTGCCACTGGACTTGACGATTAACAAATAACGAACAATTAGCTGTCAACATACCAAAAAGCTCATATTTTGTCAAATAAATTTTATTTTCATCAATTGACAAAATATGAATTAAATGAAAACGTCATGAATTTTAGACGCAGTCAATCAATATAAGGATTAATTGAACAAAAAGAATAATTAATGTATCACTTAAATGAAAACTTTCGATCGCATTGAGAAACCAAATATATTTTAAAACCTTACAATACGACAAAGATGACGACATAGACACAATCCAAGATTGGACAAGAATTTGCTCAATCCGTAGTTTATCTAGAGGTAGTTGCACTTATCGTACTATTCATTAGAGGTATAATTGGACTTATAAGTGCAACTCGACAACTTTAATTTAATCAATCACTTGGAAACGATATTCCCGCTTTCAAATTAGTTAAAATCGGAGATCCAACAATGAAAGTTAAACTGGGGACTTATTATAAAACTGTAAATATATTTGAAAAGTACACATAAAAGTGCGAAATAATTGGCTCTTGCCCGGTAATTTATCTATTAGAATTGAATTTCAAGAGTTATAGTTTTTATAATGTAAGACGCTTAACAATAATCATATTTCAGTACTCTATGTAAACAAAACATATGTATCATATGTATATAGAAATTCATATGTATGTATATGTATGTGTGGCGAGTCAATTGATAAATAAAATAATATGTGTGTGGAGTTAAGTACCTAGAAAACATTACATACATTGAAGCGTCAAATTTTAACTGACATCTTTATGAGTTATATTTACATAAATTAGCTATGTCATATATTTTAATCGACAAATGTTACAATGTAAATATTTGTATATGCTCCAAAAATGTCTTATAAAAAATAATATTTAGACGTCTTTTTAGAAATTCTGAAATGTGTCTTTTGAATACACGTGTTGTCTGAGGTGCTTTTCTCTTTGCTGAAACATGTTTAACGATGTGAATTAAATAAAAAAAAAAGATTATTTATGTGTTGTTTATTCTCTTTCCTTCATGATAAATTGTTTGCATAATTATTTATAGCTGCTTGTAATGTAATTAATATAAAGATGAAAATATTATAAAGATATTTATAAATTTTATAAAGTCTTATGTTTGAAGCTAATGAAAAATGTTTGTAAAAAGAATTTTTTGAATAAAATGGTATATTGACTACATTAATTTAAAATATTATAAAAAATTTTAAAAAACATGAAACGTTAGTGAAAGGAAAAAACATAGAAATCGTAGCTTTCAATATCAATGCTGTTATTATCTTTTTATTTAACTTGAATATCTAAAAATATATAAAAATATTTCTAAAACGTGTTGTCGGTAATTGTCGACATGATTTTGTTATTGATAAAAGTCTGAAATTTCCCGAAAATCAACCAAATGACAAAAAAGATTATATATTGTCATTAAAAATAATGAAATTATAAATTACATTTCTGCGATGAAACTTTTTTTAAGGAATCTTTTGAATCAGTAGATAAGCTTTTTACATTATCGACTACAATAGATTTATTGATTAAAACGAATACGTTATTATATATAGTATGATCAAAAAATTTGAATGTATAATATCCGATAAAAATTATTCTGAGAATTTTTCATATAATTTTTCAGAATTTCTGAATAATTTTATAACTTTTTAAAATATTTCTCAGATTTTTTATGTAAATTGGAACACTTATATATTTAAAAATAAGTTTATGATCTTCATTTTTTATTCATTATAGTAAAAGAGAAAAGCTTATCAAAAGAGAAGTCAAGAAAATTTTATATATATTTATCATATTTGTCGTCAGATGGCAACTTCATTCGTGTTGAGTAGAGAGTTATGCTGGATTCACACTGCATCCGATTTTCGTCGTACGACGCTCCGCATTTTTTCGACGCTCTGCATCCAATCAGAAAACAGGATTCCGATAATACGAAGCAAAATTCATCGGAATCCTGTTTTCTGATTGGTTGCAGAGCATCATACGACGAAAATCGGATGCAATGTGAATTCAGCATTAGGGATCCATAGACGCGGTGCTCAAGATTCGAGATGGTCGCTAATAAGCTAGTGCATGAACCAATCAGAGAGCCGTATTAGCATTTTAAGACTGCTTGAGATTAAGAATGGATTATGAATTCCGGCCTTAGAGACTCTCTAAATAACCGGAATCAGACTAGGCATTGAAAATTGAGATTGAACATTGAAAGATTGAAATTTGACCAAAAAATATCTAATTTTAATTGTATTGTTGACATTTAAAAGTAATACGAATATAGGTATGCAAATATAAAACATAAAATTGAAGAGAATATTCAACGGCTGATAGAAGAAACTCAGATGTGTTCTTGCGCATATATTTATCGTTTCTCAAAAGAGAAAACGTTAAAGTGGGGAAAAGCTTGCGGAAAATCAGTTTTTATTATGATATAATGCCTAAACTATGGCTCCTGCATACTAGAAACGCTTACCTTTATGCAAGAGTCTGTGCTGCGGCCATAAAGCGGGGAGCACAGACTCTTACATAACGCATAACACGTAATGCATAAGAAAATGTACCAATCAAAGCCGTTTCCTTCCTTTCCATGAAATAAAGAATTCTGATTGATTGAATTTCTTATGCATTACATGTTATGCGTTATGCAAAAGTCTGTGCTCCCCGCTTAAGCGTTTCCGCGTTCAGTGTGCAGAAGCCATAATTCAAATAAACGCGGCAACATGAAGGTATATGGTGTCATGTTCTTATTGGCTGTTAGAAATATATGCGCAAGAGCATATCTGAGTTTCTTCCATCGGTCGTTGAAAATTCTCTTCAATTTTATGTTTTATGACAAAAACATAACCTAATAGTAACTTCCCGACTGTTGTCATCAAGTCGTATTTTGATTACAAATGTGTTAGATTGAGTGCAATATTTTTAACTCAATGGCAAATGATCGGGAGGTACTTCGGGAAATCTGGGACGGAAAGATCCCAGTCTGTTTTACTCTCAACTCTGAAGAAATTTGCGATTTACAAGGACCAGATCCATTTTACTTGATGGTACCTAGATTAAGTTACTTTCCACTGTGTACAGAAAAGGTAATAAGTTTACAGCACATTTTATTATATTAAAATTTTATTATTTATTCGCATATAGCTCTATGAATATATGAATAACTGATTGAATAATTTTATCTATAATATTGAATATTGTTTTAGGTTCGAAAACATTTCATACGTCATATACAAAGTGACAGTAAACAAGAGCATGAGATGTGGCTGGAATTTAATGGAATACCATTAAAATGGCACTATCCAATTGGTGTTTTACTAGACATTTATTTCAATGACATTCAATTACCTTGGAACATTGTCGTCCATTTTGATAAGTTTCCAGAGAATGTTCTAATGCACTGTCAAAACAAGTACGTAATAACTCGCCAGAAACTGGCAAAACAACTGCAGAAACAATTAAACAAAACCTGTTGGTATAACCTGATGGCAGATTGGCAGAAGAAATCAAGAATCTGCACTGTCGCTAAATATTTTCAAGACTTGCTAGGTACTGTCTGTTTATCGCATGTAAAATTTGTCGGGCTTTTTGTATAACCAAAGTTTATATAATCTGCTGCCAATCTGTCGAGTTTATATAATCTGCTGCCAATCATTTTAACATTTTGCTTACAGGAAAAATTTTTATGTAATAGCATGGTGTGGCGATTTGTTTGCTTATTTGACAGTTAGACGATATAACTGTAACGTTGTAATATAATTTTAGGGAAATTGTAGAGGCACATTTTCTCTCTTGTATAAAAGAAGCTGATGTTTTGAAACATAGAGGTCAAATCGTTTCTAGTATGCAGAAAAAGGACCATACCCAACTATGGAATGGTATTATGAATGATAAATTTGATCAGTTCTGGTCTGTAAATGGTAGGCTTATGGAAACCAGTACTGAAGAGGGATTTAAATATATACCTTTCCGTTGTTATACAAGTGAAGATAAATACATACAAAGACTCGTAAAACCAATGAATGAAGAAGGCCAAAGAAAAACTTTGAAGCATTTGTTAAACGAAGTGTTTCCGGATCAAGAAAATGGTACTGTTACACGAGTTTCTCTAACTAGGAATATATCACAACTGTCTGTATAAAAAAATACGTATCTCTTAAATTTTTGTTTTATCAAATATTTTAAGAAGAATTTTACATTATACATAATTCTTATGATTGGATTTATTTATTATGTTAATGAATTTTATAATTTCTAATTTTATTTTACAATATTAATTTTCCGTCAACATTGATAATGACCTGATATTGTGTCGAAACATTTGTTTTATATAATTGTTTATTTTCATCTTTATTTTATGTGAGTCAAATTTATATTAAACAGTTTGTTTTAGGCTCGTAGCCCCTTTTTTGTTACATTATTTTAAAAAGAATCAGATCAGTTCCGGACAGTTGCAATATATCTCTTATAAGTATTATGTACATACTTTGATTTATTTAATAAAATTGATACTTTCTAAGCGATTTTATTTTACAGTTACAGTGCGTACCCATGGTATTATACCACCGTTCGAGACGCCGCTTCAGTGGATGTCGGAACATTTAAGTTATCCAGATAACTTTCTACACTTAATTGTAGTCACATCATAATGTTTAGAGAAACAGATAATTTCATTATTAATGATGAAAGCGTTTTTCTGTGATTATTCTGTTTTAACATAATTTATATTGTTTTATGGTATATTTATTTTATAAAAATTTCTTCCCATAAAAATTCCATCTGTAATAAAATCAATTTATTACAGAACAAAGGCTGTAATGCAAAGGGGAAAAAAATATATTTACCGATATATTGAATCGCCACTGTTATGTTAATGAAAACTGTGTTTATTGAACAAATAGTTATAACATTCTTTACTCGTTAAGTTATCGCGCATCTTTCATCTAGTTTGTGATATTCTATCGACGTTCGCGAGGATAAATGAGAATTCTGCATAATCGTAGACTCTGATTTACGTATGATAACGGGGTGATTTCCGTTGTTACTATATTCCATTGTTCTGCGACTGTTTCCAAAACTAAGGTAGCTCACAATTTCTTTCTTTTTACTTTGTTGCTCCTGCAATTAAAAAAATTCTCGATTAGAAACTTATTTTATTTAAATTTATTCGATTTTTTTTTTACTTTAAATATAATCATCGCGGTATCTTGATATCTTTTATGAATCTCTTCCTTGCTCAAGACAATGATCACCTCTGGAGATTCATAACACGCAGTCATTTATATATAATATAATTTTGTTTGCATATTCAACATGTACTTTCTCCACAACGTTTACATCGCCTCCTTTATACCTGTAATTATAAATCTGGTTAGCAGCAGTTCTTCGAATTTGACATTTATCTACTACGATATTTCTAAACGTAAGATAATTTTAATCGAGGAAAAAATATATAAGTCGATAGAGGTAAATTCGGTGTTTAATATCACGGCAATATAAGAGCAATGAAAACAAAAACACTCAACAGAGAAAGGAATTGAAGGGAAAAAGAAGGTAGAGAGGTTTTGTCAAGATAAAAATACATGCATGGGGCTAGCCTTTCGCAAACGGTAATTTTCTCGCCGTTGCGGGAATTGCGAACGACTCTGTGAGACTCCCTTTCCTTTTTCTTCTTACTACGCGACATCAAGAACACGTGTATCATGGAGACAGGCTTTTGGAATACGAATGCGCTTTATAATTAGCCACCATCGCGAAATTGAGCATCTCTCCCGGTCGAGTGTTATGCGCCTGAAGGTCTCTTAGACAGAATTACTGTTCAAACGTGATACTCGTTTCGATGTCACGTTTGAAGATTATTCTTGTCTCGACTTGTATACGTATATCTCTGCATATTGACTTTTTTTGCGATTCTATATATCTTGACCCTCAATCATTGAGTCTAACGTAATCGCGATGACGTCAGTTGAGTTTAAAGCTCAAAAAACCAATATCATATATAATATTGTATATCAATAAAGTGGAGAGCATATCTATTGAAGTGGAGCTAAATGGAGCTCTAATGCATCGTTTAAGTTATATCTTTAATCTGCAATCGGGAAGAGAGAAGGAACACTTTATGTGGGACATAGAAACCGTAGCCCTGAGGTATCGCGATTACTAAAAGATTCACGAATAATAATAGTATTTGACAAATAGCGCGTTGTGTTATGCCAAGATCGCTAAACTGACTCTGTGGGGATATATACGGATTTCTCATTTTGTGACACACTTCCTTTTGCCGGTTTTCTACCTCAAATCACAGCGTTCTTGCCTACGAAAATCAACGGTCCGTACGAGATGTGCTAAAGGAATAATCGCCGAAAACTTTTGTCTGCCCACTGCACCATTTGCCTGTTCCGCAAACAGAATCAGAGAGCCACATCGGTTCGGACGATGTTGGAGCAACGCCAGAATCTTTTCAGCTTTTGTATTTCCGGTTGGAGAACGGACTGAGAGGTATTCCGGGAGTACGGTGGAGTATCTAAATGCTACTCGGCTCGTTATTGTATTCTTAACGCTTTTCAAGATACGTATATAATGTCAGCGATTGGAGGACTTGGACTTAAACCGCTTAGAAGTCGAGCAGTTTAGGTACGAAGAAACCGTTAAGTGCCGAGGGAAAGCGGAGATCGGCATCGTCGCGATTTGATCTTCATAATATTATACGCTCAGAATGTTACATTCCAACGGAGTCATTTTTTTTATCGTGCCACTGCACCCTTCCTAATTGCGTTGCACCAGCCGGTGACATTTATTGGCGTTGATTGGCGCGTTGCAACAGTCATTCTTCGATTCAAGGTCCGTTTAGCGCGTATGCGGTGACCGTAATAAAAACGGGTAATGTGGTTATTAAAACTGCAAGACTTTGATGGATCTTCCAAGAAAACGTATTCTTAATTTTTCTCTAAATGGAATTACATATCACTAATTAATATGTATTAATATATGTATATAAAATATTAATATAAGTGAGTGAATATTGATATAAGTGTGTTTTAAAATTTCGTGAGCGTTCCTAAATAAGAAGGAAGAAATGTTCATATAAATATTAAATCGTAAATTCATTGTCGAAATAAAGGACACAAATACAGTACTATTTGTAGTATCAAATAATGACTTTGTTTAAAATTTTTAGATGGATATTTTTTTGTTTACAAGAAATATTCAAAATATTTATTATTTTCCATGTATTATTCTCTGTTATTTTCCATTATTTTTCGTGCCTGAGCACGTACCTTATGTTTATAGGAACATTTGTTCCTTCTGTTTACTCAGAAATACGCTCGTGAAATTTTATAACTTGTGACTCATCTTTTATATCACAACAATACGCATTTCTTCATATATTTAAATTAATTTGTTAGTTTTAGAATTTATGAATTTTATACGATATTTATGAAAATATTGTGGAAAATTTTTATAAAAGATTATGAGCTCTCTGCTTTATTACATGATGAAAACCTCGAGATATTATGTAGCTAATTGTAAGAGATCGATCAATTGTCCCACTGACGTTAAAGTAGCGATCTGTGAAACTGAGCTCTGGCTTCCATTCTTTTCGTTGCTGCACGCAATAACGATTGCTCAATCCGCTCAGGTGCATTGGCACCAAGTCATTTACATTGCGACATAAAGCGAGAAATTCTTTATCATATTCGCTAACTCATAGAAGTTTTATCATAAAACAAATATCAAGGTGTTTTTCATTAAAATAGTCATTAATCAATGTTCAGACTTGTTATCGTATCATTTTATATAATAAACTGCAAATAAAAAGTCTCTACGCGACTAATAATTAGAAAATACATTCATTAATGTTTTATATACTCCCTTCTCAAATAATTAAGAAATAAATCATTAACGTTTCATTAACGTTTTATTACTTTCTTATTGGATAAATGACATTTACTGGTTAATCATCATTACCATTAGCTGCAGAGAGTCGGCGTGCTGGTATGGAAATGTGTGTGTCATTCAGAGTCCATATTTTCCTTTCCTTTTAATAGTGAGCGTTTTATTCCCTGTTACCGGACTCGCAACGATAAACATCGGTAGTAAATCATGTATTTGCATAGCAGGAATTCACGGTGCGGTATGCATTCTATATCGTTGCTTATGAGAGATTTGAACTCTTGCGTATGTAGACAACTATGATACAAATTATACATGCATGCATATTTAAATCTCTAAAAAAAAAAAAGATATTGAGATTATTTACAAAATTAAAGATCACGAAAAATTTACAAGAGAATTTATACAGAAATCGCGAGAAACAAAGCAAACGTGCGCGAAAGCGTTCTCCACAACACTACGATATGCACGTGTGCGTGCATGTGCCGCCGTATTACGCGAAATTGAGCGTCCGATGCGTGCCTGGAGAGCCTAACGCAATTTACGCGATGAGCCTGCGGTTGCACGAGCTGCCAATCCAATCGGTCGCGATAACGAAAACAATGCAATCGGTGCATCGGCGCGGGATATCGGTGCACGAAGACCGAACCGATGTGCGTGAGCCTCCATGACTTGGCTCGCGCTTATCTCCATCGCGCCTCTAATCTGCGCGGTGAGAGGAGAGCCGGGGTGAGATATCGAGACGAACGAGCGCGTTCCTCCTCAGGAACGCAGTCTACAACTCGCAAGTTGCTCCGCGCAGGTCGTGCGCGAAATTACGTAAATCACTAATTGCGAGAGGAGTGCACAGTTCCAACTAGATGTTTCTTAAGAACTGATTTCCTCTACCCGTTCTTTTCCTACCAAAAGCGGTTGCAATATCGCTAGAAACGTAGAATTTTCTGAAATATATGTCCTTTTAATAACAAAAAATTATAGATATTACGATCTTCCTTTGTCACAAAAACAATTAATCACTCTTAATCAGAAACTATTATACATAGATTGGAACGTTTGTAAGACAAAATTAATTTCATTGAATAGATTCACAGATGGCCTTGATATTATGAGATAGAAATTGACGTAATTGTTTATCAATATTACGACAAAAATATTTTTGAATGTGAAAGGTTAAAGCGACGATAGGAAAAATTTAATTCGTAATATTATTCGAAATTTTTCGATTTATCATTGTTCGTTGTTTCATGACCCAAGCGGAACTATTGAATCTTGAATCAATGTAATGAGAGAATGGAACTTTTCTCTCCCATACTGCGTCACGTGTAACTACTGAACTACTCGTGGCAGGAAGATAAATGCTTGTAAGGTTTGTAAAATCGCGTGAGAGACCTCGTGAATCATATCAGTAAAAGAAAGAGCTATTGCATCAAATGTACTAATGCAATACTCTTTCTTCGAGCCATTTGATAAAATCATGTCTTTTTAGATAAAAAAAGACACATGGCTTCTCAGAATCTTAGGAAAGATTAATAAACGTTGCGTATAGATATGATAGTTAATACACACCGCCGACGATGTCCAATAATTTAGTACAAAATATAATAACTCATTATACGCAATTGAAAAAGAAATCAAAAACTTGTAATATACTTTTCATCGTTGATCTCAATAGTACTATGTTAGTTTATATCAACGAAATAATCTCAAAACGATTCATTTAATCTACTTTTTCAAGCAAAATTTGGAAGTCCAACAAATCTCATTATTCATATACATTATATTTTGATTATTTCAAATTAATGATCGTATCAAAATAATAGCATTGCTTCCATTCACATTTCTTTACGCTAGACAATATTTTGTAATATTCTGTAGATTCGCATCCGATAACAAATGACAATTGCATGTGTGTAACCTTAAAAAAATTAATTTAATGAGTAGGGGCAATAATAACAGGGGGATTTGTTTTAAAATAATCTCTTATATTTTCTCTCAAATTCAGTAAAGATTCTATATTATATAAAGCGTGTCAAAACGTTGTGAATACCAAAATGGGCATTTTTATATTATTTGACACGTTTCATACAATCTATAGGCATATGTGTGTGTATATGATACAATATTTAATACAATAATTTTTACGTTTTTTAACATACAAAAAAAGGATTGGTATCTCAATGCCTTTCTCTTGCACTCCTCAGACACTAAGATCATACATTTCCACTCTCGTTCTCCGATACTCTGCTGTGGATACTCATACGTACACACACACACACATACACACGCACGCTCTTTCTTTCTCTCTGTTTTTCTTCATTCGTTTCCTCTCGATAAATCACAATGACGGATGTGGTTATTTCAGACAAAAGTCGATAATAATGAGAAAAAAGCGTGTTGTAAAATATAGAATTAATAATATTATCGTAATCGTTTGCAACATGAAAATGCCGATAAATTGTTCGATTCTATGACTGTTGCGTTTCTGAGCTGCCGATTATATCGAAGAAACCACGTGCTTTCTTTTTTTTTCTTTCTCGATGTTGACCACGGTATGTACTAATAAACGCAAGATAATTTGTCGATAAGCAACACAGCGTCGAATAATCATGGAGTCTTCGGCTGTGCGAATTACATCGATTGCACGCAAGAGTGCGACGAGAGAAACAACATTTTTGTAAAGTATGTGATCGGGAAGGCATAGAGATGACGACGCACACGAAGTTTCTTCGTGTCATTGCGATACAATAGAACAATAAATAAGGAATAGTTGAAATACTGATATTGCGCGTGAGGAGGGCACACACACTGGTACATTATTTCCGTACAATTTCGTACAAATACAATACAATAAATACATATTCGCTCATCAGCGAAGGATACTTGGCGATGTTTTTGATTCTTGATTCCTCCTCACGCTAGAACCGTAAGGCACGAGTAATTCGAAGGCACCTGACAAATTTAGAGGCGCATTTGTTGTTGTAAGTTGATTGTATCAAAATATAATTTTCGATATATATCATATCTCTATTAAGTATATATGTATATATGTATATATGTACGTATGTATATGTATATGTATGTGTATCCACTTAACATTTTTCATTTATTATATATACATATACATATATATATATATATATATAAAATTTTTTTGTATATGTACAAATATGAACATTATGCATACAACATATTTACTTGTGTGTCGTACGGACTATAAAACGCGGGGGCTCGCCCACCAGACTCCCCCTTTTATGCACTTAAAAAATATTGCTTGTATACGCTTTATGCCTCTCGTTAACAGACTCTTGTGGGCTACGGCGTGTACGTGATATACGTACTACACACACAAATATAGACGCACCCGAACGCATTCGAATACACATGCACACAAAACACTCCGGTGTAACGACTTATTTTTCATGCGATCAAAAAATTTTGTTCGTCAGTCATACAACCCCTTATTATGTATGTATTATGGCATTATATAACTTATTATGGCTTACGATTACGCTAAATTTTTTTATTGTACACTGCCGCCTTGACCACTATTATCGCGATCGTGAGCAAGGCACAAACCTATTTTCCTTATTTTATCTTTTGATCCTCGAACTTGATTGGCGAATTGCTCTATAATAAAAAGAGATATGTATCTTTACGCACAATAATAAATTAACGAGTTAAACATTTTCAATGTGC